GTGATCGTGTTCTTACTCATTGCTTTGCCGATCGGCGCGGGCCCTCGCACCCCCCCTCCCTCCCCCCACCCCCCTCCATGGAGTAGATCTTAGCTGCTTTTCTGGGTGCTTATTTCACGCAGGTGGAGTCTCCCCCACAGGACGCACTAAACAGCCGCACAGTCGCACCAAACAGGACTAATGTGTGTTCCCATAGTATCACAAGACACGCTCTCGTGGAATCGTGGTCGCGCTCCAAGCGCCCGAACGACTTGGCACCTGGTGGAAACGACCCGTACATCGAAGGCATCGACGGAGACACCAGCGCCCTTCCCTCCCCCCCCCCTCCCCGCCCCCCTCCCCCCCCTCCCCCCCCCCCCCTCCCCCCCCAACCCTCCTCCCTTCCCCCTTCCCCCCCTCCCCCCCCTCCCCCCCCCCCCTCCCCCTCCCCTCCCTTCCCCCCCCTCTCCCCGCCCCGTCTCCCCCCCCCTCCCCCCCCCCCCTCCCCCCCCCCTCCCCGCCCCTTCCCCCCCATTCCCCCCACCCCTCCCCCCCCTTCCATGCCGAAGCGCCGCACACGAAAACGCTCACGAAGTGAGCCTGGGAGAGGGCCCTGCCGCCCGGGACCCGTCGCCTTCCGTCGGGGAAGGAAGAGATGCTCACCGGTGCCGCGGCTCGTCTTGGAGAGCCCTCGTCTCGGGCGAAGAGAACTATGCACATGCACCGATCCTGGCAAGGCCCATCTTTGACCCAGCATCGGTGCATATGCCTTCCTGGCTAAGGTAGGAGGGCGTATGCACCGATCCTGGGCTCACGATGGGCCTGGCCAGAATCGGTGTATGTGCATAGTTCTTTTTCCTCTATCGTCGCCACGACTAGATTACCCTCGGAGTTCTTGTCAGGATGCACCCCAGGAGAGGTCCGAGCAGCAGCGGACCCGGACCCCCCCCCCTCTGCACGCAGACAGAGACAGACAGACAGACAGACACACAGACACCCAGACACACAGACATCCGTAGCCATTTTGGCTCAAGGCCATGGAGCACCCGACGACCGCGAGTCGTCCGCGGCGCTCTGAGCGTGAGGGGCTCCGCGCTTTGGGCCTGCTCTCGTGTGCGAGTTCTCTGGACCTCGGGTCTCAGCCGAGAGGCCGCAGCTTTGGGCCGCGAGGCCATTCGACAGATCCTGCCTTGCCATGGTGGTGCACGGACAGCCAGCTGGAGGCCGCTCTCGGGACGACGTCGCGGTGGGCGGCAAGGCCAAGAGCAGCTGGAGCGACTGGGTCTGCTCCAGCCGCCTCTGCAGGGAGTGGAACTGGTGCTCGCTCTGGCAGTGCCGCAGCTGCGGCCGAGTGGCCCCGCCGTGGGTCAAGGCAGCCCAGCCGCCCGCGGCCGCCGCTGGCCTGGAGCAGCCAGCCGCTGACGCCGAGGGCTTCGTCGTCCAGCCCCGTGGGAGGAAAGCGAGGCGCCAGGCCAAGCGCGCTGCTGCCCGCGCAGCCAGCGCGGGAGCCGCCAGCCTGGCAGGCGCCAGCGAGGCCAGCAGCGGGCAGCTGTCGGCCGTCGAGCGGCACCGCCAGGAGGTCAAGCGCATCGAGGACTTCCTCGCGGCCCCTGGCGAGTCCATCGATGATGCGTGCCTGTCGTCGTTGCGATCGGCCCTCGGCCGTAAGCGTCGCAGGCTCGCGGCAGCGGAGGCGGCGCAGGCTGAGCGCAAGAAGGCCGACACCCCCCTGCCCAAGGCGCTCCACGGCGCTGGCAACGCCCTGGGGAAGATGGTCAGGCAGGGGCGGGCCAAGGAGCAGGCGCTGCTCAAGGCGGAGGAGGCCCACGCGGCGGCCATCACCGAGCGTGAGGAGGCAGTCGCCCGGGAGGCCGCGTGCGCAGAGGCCGTCGAGGAGTGCCGAGCTGCCCTCGAGGCTCACCGCGAGGGGCAGAAGGCCGCAGAGGCCAGACAGGCCCTGGAGGTTGGAGCAGCCTTCGCTGGCACGGACCTGCTCGGGCTGGTCTTCGGCCTCATTCAGCAGGTCGAGGCCTTGCCGCAGGGGTTCGCCGCAGGCAACGGGGAGGCCGCCTTCGCCGAGGTCGCCAAGCAGATCGCAGCGGTCCGCAGGCAGGCCCCCCCTGAGCCCAAGGGCCGCTCCTCCTGGGCCGACACGCCCGTCGACGTCTCCTACGAGGACCTCGATGGAGATGATGAGGAGCGGGCCCGAGCGTCGTCGGTCCCGTCCGTGCAGGATGCCGCCGAGCGTGGGCAGGCAGCGCGGCGAGGAGCGGCGCATGGCGCATGGCCCGCAGCCCAGCCGCTGGCCAGGAGCCTTGCCAACGCTGGAGCGGCCCTCCTCGACGACCAGCCGCTGGCCACGGCTGCTGCTGGCCCCGCTGCTGGCAGCCGCAGGTGTCTTTGACGTCGCTGCGGCAGGCCCGTGTGCTGATAGCAGCAGGAGGGTTAGGCGGCGCCTGAGCGGGCCACCTGCAAGGTCGGCACCAGGCCGTGGGGGAGCGTTGAGGGCCGTCGACGGGCGGGTGGCCGATGCCCCTCGCCCCCCCGTCGAGGCCGCTGGCGAGCGGGTGGCCGGGTCCCTCGACGGGTGTAGCGAAGCCGAGGTGCCAAGCGGCCAGAGGACGAGGATGACGGCGCAGGAGGCCTGCATTGGCAAGGCTCGCTTCGGGCCTCCGCCCGCGCCAGGGCCGGGCCCTGGCAGTCCGTGCCCACTGCGCGCTGGCCTGGAGGTCCTGGGCTGCAATGGCAACGTCTGGAACAGGAGCGTCGAAGTCATCGAGGCCTTCTTCCACGCCCACCAGTACTGGCCGCAGCTGGTCCTCCTGCAGGAGACGAGGCTGGCCCAGGAGCGTCTGCCTGGGGCCAGGGCGATGGCGCGCCGCCTCGGATACACCGCCTTCCTGCACGAGGCGGTGGCCACGGAGCAGTCTGGCCCGAACGCCACGTCGGGCGGCGTCGCGACCCCGGTGAGGGTCGGGCTCCAGGCCGAGGAGTCGGCCTGCCAGCTCCTTGCAGCCCTTCGGCACCGCCTCATCGGGGTCGAGGTTGCGGCCCCGTCGGGCCTCCGCTTGCTGGCCGTGGCGGGGTACGTCCAGCACTCCCTGGGCCCGCGGGGCTTCAGCCTGGACCTGATCTCGGCGGTCTCGGACCTGGTGGCCTTCTCGCTCGAGCTGCCCTGGGTCCTCCAGGCCGGCTTCAACATGGAGCCCGAGCCCCTGCAGGAGCTGGGCTGGCCGTTTGCGCGGCTGCGGTCCGCGGGCAGGTGCTGGGGCCTTCGGAGGCGACTTGTTGCGCCCAGGGCCTGGAGCACGTCTTCGACTGGTTCGTCGCGTCGTCGGACCTGGCCACCTGCACGGCGTCCTGCACGACCACGCTCAGTGACTTCGGGCTGCACCCGCATTCCCCTGTGCTGCTGCGCCTCCAGGACGTCAGGTGCGACGCCCTGGTCGAGGTGCCCTCCCGTCCCGCTCGGTTTCCTGATGTGGAGGTCAAGGGTCTGCGGCCCCGCGAGGACGCCCTGGTCCAGGCCTTCACTGTCGGCAAGCGCGGGAAGGTGGCGCAGAAGGAGGTGACTTGGTCATGGGCTCAGGGTTCGCGCCCGATCTGCCTCCCCGCTGCCTTCGGCGAGTGAATCGAGGCGGCGGAGGGCACTCTCACGGGCATCCACGAGATCGCGCCAAGCGACCTGCCGCGATACCTTGGCGTGCGGCAGGGCCCAAGATCAGGCGCATGCCCTTCAGCGCGCTGGTGCAGCGGGAGGCCAGGTTGAAGTGCAGCATGCTGACCCACCGCCTGAGGAGCTGCCTTGCCGTCGCCCTCCAGAGGATTCGGGCGGAGCAGGCCAGCAGGTGGCACCCGAACCACTCTTGGTGGCACGAGCAGGAGGCGGCGGCGAGGGCGAAGCTCCTAGACGAGGCGACCCAGGAGGCGACTGGCCTTCGGAGCGAGGCCCTCCCTGGAGCCTCCGACGAGAAGTGGGGCGACCTCGCCTTCCACGCGGGGGTGGTGGGCTGCCCCACGGCGATCGCCAAGTCGCAGTCGTGGCTCCTGGCGTCCCAGAGGCGCGATGCCGCCGAGGGCGCGGCAGCTTGGCGCAGCTGGGCCCAGGCGGCTGTGGAGAAAGGAGGCCGCCTGGCCCACCGCTTCTCCAAGGCGGCTCCCACGCCTGTGGTCAGGGACGCCGACACTGGGAGGCCTCTCGTCGGCATGGGCGCCGTGGACCAGCTCACGCGCACGCGGCAGCGGCTCTGGCTCCAGGAGGGCTTCTCCCGCGGGGTCGGAGCCCACAGGTGGGATGTTGGCTCATGGACGCTGCCGCCCCTCACCCTGGAGGACTTGCAGCAGGCGTGCAGGCGCTACGGCCCGTCTGTGGGGTTGGGCTGCGACAACCTGCACCCTCGCCAGCTCCTCCTGCTGCCAGTGGCGCTGCAGCTTCGCTTGATTGACATCCTGTCGGCTTTCGAGGACGAGCCTGCTTCGATCAAGGGACAGGTGACGCCCATGGTTTTCATTCCCAAAGCCGACGGGGGGGCGCGGCCCATCGCGCTGCTCCCGCTGGCCTTGCGGCTGTGGTCTCGCCTGAGGCAGCCGTGCTGTGCCCGATGGGAGTCAGACCACAGCTTCCCCTTCTTCTGGGGCCGTGATGGACGTGACTGCGAACGAGCGGGCTGGATCCACAACTGCTTCGCGGGCTTCGCGTCGGCCTCCCCGCACTTCGAGGTGGCCAGCCTGTTCCTGGACACCCGTAAGTTCTACGAGCACGTGCGCCACGACGTCCTCTGGTCGTCCGCCCAGCGCTTCGGCTTCAACCTGAAGCTGCTGCGCGGCCTCCTCGCCATATACCAGGCCCCGAGGATCGTGCTGGCAGGAGGCATGGCGTCGGCCCCCTTTGGGGCCAGTGGCACAGTGCTGGCGGGCTGCGCGTGCGCGACGGCCGTGGCCAAGCTACCCCTACTCGGAGGCCCCCTTGCCGCAGGAGCCCAGCGGCCCCTGGCCACCCTGCGCAACCTAGTGGACGACGTTTCGCCCCAGGCGGTCGGCTCGGCGAGGCTGGTGGTGGACCGGCTCGTGGGAGCCAGCGGGGAAGTGCTGCGACACCTACGGGAGCACCACCTCCCGCTCAATGAGGGCAAGTCCGTGTTTCTGGCCTCATCTTCACAGCTGGCGGACGGCCTCGCCGCCTGCTGGGCCGCCCTCGGCTTCGAGGTCAAGCGGGGCCCCCAGGCCCGCAACCTGGGCACCGACGCCAACGTGACCCGCCGAGGGGCCCATGAAGGAGGAGCCCGCGCTGCGGGAGGCCTACCCCGTGCCAAGCTGCTGAGAACCTTGGGCTCGGCGGGGGCCGATGTGGTGCACATTCGCCGCGCTGGCCCCACCGCCGCCATGATCTGGGGCAGGACGGTCACAGGTGTGCCTGACGGCGAGCTCCACTCCTGGCGCCTGGCTGCTGCGCGCTCGGCAGGGAAGCTTCCCAAGGGCGCCCCCCTGGGGCTGAGGCTCAGGGCGATCGAGGTGCAGCGCTCCACGTACTTGGACCCGAGCCCAGCCCTCGTCCGCGCCGCGGTGCAGATGGCAGCCAGTCTCCTCCAGTCGGGCGAGGTGCCCCTGAGGATGTTCGCGACCTGCCTGGAGGAGGCCGAGCGCAGGCACGGCAGCACCAGGGCGCCCTGGGTGAACTGCAAGAACCCCGTCGACGCCCTGGCCCTCTCTCTGCTGCGGGTTGGGTGGCGCCTGTCGGCTGGGCACATCATGCACACCGACGACGGCCACGCCTTGGACATGCTGATTATGTGCCCACGCGAGCTCGGACTGCTGGCTGCGGCAGGGGCCCGCAGGGCCCCCGACAGGGCTGAGATGGCGCGACTTGGGCACGGAGCTGCCCCCGCCATGCTTTTGTTCTGGGACGCCCTGGGCGGCAGGTTCAGTTGCAGGGAGAAGGCCGCGATGGTTAGCTACCTGTCCAACGCCCACTGGCCGCAGGCTCGCCTCTTCGCGGCTGGCGAGCGGGGCCACCCCCGCTGCCGCGCCTGCGGCGAGGGGCGTGGCAGCCTATGGCACAGGCGGTTCGAGTGCCAGGCCCTGGCAGCTGAGAGGAGGGATTATGTGTCCGCCCGCCTCCTCCGCTGCGCCACTCGAGTGAGGCAGCGAGGCGTGGAGGCGGGGGGGTGCTTCTCCAGGTGCTGGCTGTCGCAGCCCCCGCAGACGGCCTGGAAGACGGACGCGATGGCAGTCATGTGGGTGAACAAGCCCGCCGACGGGCTGCTTGGCGGCCGCCTCTACCTCGACGGCTCGGCGCTCGACCCTGAGTTCGAGTGCGTCCGCAGGGCAGGCTGGAGCATCGTGCAGTGCGACGAGTTCGGTAACTTGCAGGCGGCGGTGCGCGGCACGGTCCGCCTCGACCTGCGCCCCGTCCAGACGGCGAAGGACGGGGGGGACTTCGCGGTCTGGATGCTGAGCCGATACCTCGGGCCTTCGATCATCGAGATCAACATCGACTGTGCGTCCACAGCCAGCTGCTTGAAGCTTGGCAGGAGGTATGCGACGGCGGCCAACAAGCCCAATGCTCATCTGTGGTCGGCCGTCTACGCCTCTCGTGACGTCGATTCGCTCATCGTGAGCAAGGTTCCTGCCCACTGCACCGAGTCGGATGTTCGCGAAGGCAGGATCTCGGGGGGTCAGTGGCTCGGGAACGCCCACGCCGACAGGCTGGCGAAGGCGGGAGCCGCCCTACACAGGGTCGGCGAGAAGGCCAGGCGCGAGTTCTTCGGCACGATGGAGGTCGTGAGAGAGCTCTCCAGGTGGATCGCGCAGGTATCGATCGTATGGCAAGGCAGGGCCTCCAAGGACTGCGAGGGCCTCCCCGTGGACGACGAGCGGAGGACGGCTGTCACCTCCGCGGTCCCGCTGGAAGAGCGTGTTGACGGCCTGCGGGCGGCCCCCGTGGGCAAGTCGGACGCCGCGCCCGCCGCCGTGGAGGCCCGCCAGGAGCAGGGAGTCAGCCGCCCCGCCGCCGCTGGCGCATGGGCCTCGGCGGCGCGCGACGGCGGAGTCGCACTCGGCGCCCTGGTCTTCGCAGTCGCGGGCCACGCCCTTGCGTTCGCCAGGTGCGGCGAGGACGGCGACGAGCAGGGGATCATTGCTTGCACCAGGTGTGGGGCCTATGCGAGGCTAGGCGGACGCTCTGGCCCGCAGCCCGAGCTCAGGGAGCGCTGTCCTGGTGCCACAGGCCTCCCCAGATCGCTGCGCGACCAGAAGTCGCGGCGGGAGCGGGGGCCCCACCCTGGGGGCACGCCGCACGCCCGCGACACGCGGAGGAAGGGGGCGGAGGCCCCCCGTCTGCGCAAGGAGGCTGAAGTTCCGCAGGACGCCAGGGTGCGGTTCCTGAAGTGGCTCGGAGTGCAGCCTGATGCACCAGCAGGAGTCGCGGGCAGCACCTTGGTGGCTGGTGCTGCTGAGGGCGGCGCAGGCGAAGCGGCCGCCTCATCGGCCGAGGGGCCCGCGGCGGCTGGTGGCACAGCGGATGGAGCGGGATCGCGGAAGGCCTGGCTGGATGCGTACGGCCTCTATGAGGAGAGCCTGCTGAGCTGGGCAGAGGAGGCCGACGAGGCCCGACTCGAGCGCCAGGGCAAGAAGCGACGCAGGGATGTCGGAGACGGAGGGGACTGAGCCCGCCTGGCCTCAGCCTCGGGGCGCTCAGACCGCGCGAGGGCGTGGGGGCCGAGCTCTGGGCGCTCCTGGCTGCGGAGCGCCTGCCTGCCTCGCCTCGTCCTCCCTCTGCGTCCTTGCCTTTTGGACCCCTAGTGGCCGCGGGCCTCTGCGTGTGGGCGTGAAGGTTCCCGCGCCTCGCCTGCCCCGCCGTGCCGCTTGGGGTGTGCTAGCATGTTTGGGGCGTCGCCCGTCGCGTGTTTGCACAGTTGTATATATTCCAGCGTTTCGCGCTGATGCCCCTTGACGGGGGCTCGGGCTGACTGGCCGAGTGGCGCCTCGGGGCCGAGGTGCCCTGGTGGCAGCCTTTTGCGGCTCGTCTGGGCTCTCGGGATCCCCTGAGGCCCGCCCCTGTCTTGGGATGGCCCCTTGGGGCCTCGGCCCCTCAGTGGGGCCTGGGCCCCTTGTGGGCTTCTTTCTGCCTTTATAGGCCCCGCGCTAACAGACACACAGACACACAGACACACAGACACACAGACACACAGACACGCAGACACACAGACACACACACCACACACACACACACACACACACACACACATACACACACACAAGCACCTACTCCACTCGTGGAAAACATCACGGCGGGAGGGTTTTGTAAATGTCCAGTCTCTGGGGCCCTTGCCGGGTCTTGCTGGGGCCCGGGGCCATGAAAAGGGCCCGAGCCGACCCAAATTAGCAGAAAGTTTCCTATTGCATGGGCGCAGTGCTGGGCATTGCTTGGCATCGTTTGGCATTGCCATTGCATAGCATTGCTTGCCATTGCTTGGCATTGCATGGCATTTCTTAGTAGTACTTCGCATTGCTTCGCATTGCTTCGCATTGCTTGGTTTTCCTTGGCGATGCTTGGCAGTGCTTGGCAGTGCTTGGCAGTGCTTGGCATTGCTTGGCAGTGCTTGGCAGTGCTTGGCAGTGCTTGGCATTGCTTGGCCTTGCTTGGCATTGTTTGGCAGTGCTTACCAGTGCTTGCATTCGCTTGGCATTGCTTCGCATTCGCTTGGCATTGCTTCGCATTGCTTCGCCTTGCTTCGCATTGCTTGGCATTCCTTGGCATTGCTTCGGTGCGGGGAACCGGGGGAACCCCAGGAACCCAGGGAACCTGGGGAACCTTCAGGCAACGGGCAATTTGATGGAAGAATCCGAGGCACCAACCGTTAAACAAGTAAGAACCCTTCAGGCAAGCCTAATTGGGGAACTATCCAGGATTAGAAATCGGTCCCGGGGGATTGGCCCAGACATCCAGAAGTCCATTTTCGAAAAATTCATTACCCATCGGTCGCTGAAAGTAGGTATTCTTGGAGCCACAGATACCAATCTACTTTATAAGCGCCTTCCTACTTCAATGATCGAGCGGCTTCACCTTCTCCGTCCTCTTTAGGGGGCGGGCGGACACCCAATCTACTTTCAACGCCTTCCTGCTTCATGTTTCTGCTTGCTTCTTCCGACCGATGGGTACGTTGGCGTTCTGGGCCCACGATGTGACTGTTCTCCCTGCGCGGCTCTTCGATCTCGGGAGATCCACGGGCCCGCATTCCTCCGATCTCGGGATCTCGATCCCGTCAACCCGGCGACAAAGAGAGTTGATCGGGAAATCGCCCCCAGGGAAGGGGTCGGGGCGCTTGATTAGGGCGCGCGCTGCAAAGGTCACATTGTGAGAGTCGTTGACATCAGGGCTGGATCTAGACACTGTGTTGCTGGATTTCGGATGTGTGTTGCTTCTTGTCTTGGCAGGGAGGTACAGGAAAACAGGCAGAACAAAATGAATTACGAAACGAAAACAAAACGAA